ACTTTTAGCGACAGGAAGGCACTGTCTAAACAAACATACTATGAGTGTAAAATTATCACAATGTGCGCAGATAAAATGTACAAAGCCGTATAAATGCAAGCAGAAAATTTCATTTTGCGGACCTAATTTGAAATTTTTTGAAATCATTTGTGAACTAAGAAATAAGCAGTGAAAAATATCCTACGGCGAAGATGCAGGCAGCGTTCAACGGGCCTCCTTTTTCAAAAATAGTGTAGGAGAGAAAAAATTACTTAGGAAAATAAGATAGAGGGGTAGAGTAGGCTTAAACTACAATAGTAGTTCAGAGTGAGATATAGACACGAATATATAGTTCGCTCGTGCTCGCTAATGCGCACAAAATGAAATCTCACGAAAAAGCGTCAGTTCATGTGGGGCCTCAACATCTCAGGGGCCAAAATGGAATTCTGCTGATGGTTAGTAGTTAACGAAACGGGAGCAGATTAGACTGGGTGCAACCGTATAACCTCCAACGTTTGACTGACCGGTGGCATGAGATATCACGGTTATTGGGCGGCACGAGGCAGAGAAAAATAGCTTCGAGAAATTCTCCTAAAATCTCAATGGTCCTTTTACAGGGTCATGACGAATGCTGCTCGGGAAAGATGAGGAACAAAAAAGGTTAATATAATCAGTGTTAAGATAAATGTGCAGTCTTCGCTGAAATGCAGACAGACTAGTTAAGTCACTTTTAATCAGAGGGAGAATGCTTTCACCCTTGAGCTCCCTATTCATATCCAAAAATTGCCAAAAGTTCAACTTTAACAGTTGTACGTAAGACAAATATAGCGTTAACAACAGCGATATGTGTGAGCCACTTGCAAATTGCTGCTACCGACACAATGCTTATCATATGTAACACTGTCTCTAAGCAAATGAGGTAATATAATATGTTTATTATGCCAGTTTACAGGCAATGAGGTAATGACCCTATTTCAATTGGCAAGTTATTCCAAACAAAGAATAGAGAGCGTTTAGTGGTGGAGGATGTAGAAGGTATAATTAGTGCGGAATTTCTTAGGTTTTAAGGACGAATAATAAGCGTAAGGACAGAAATCTTGGGGAGATTTGAATTTTCATTGAGGCGAAAAAGTAAACAAAAGCCTGCTTCCAGTCTCCTTGACCAAATAATTTTTAGTTTCTTTAGCTGACACCTATTTGAGTAGGAAGTAGTTCAAAGTGTTAGATATAGGAGTTTTCTTGTGAAATTTCTTTGGATATTTTCAATTGTTCAGCGGCTAGATTCATTCACTAGACCGAAGAATGCGTAACAGTATCCTAGAATGAGAAGCACAAGCATACAATAAAGTCTTCATTTAATTTCAGAAAGGTAGAGATCATAGGAAATAGAGCATGAAATCTGAGCGTCTTTGACCGCAGCTCTATCGGCGTGAGGTGCACGATCTAAGTTATTGGTGTAGCCTTAACCTAATTCATTGATGGTAGAACCTTAAATCATTGAACAACCTTGAAAAATAACAGGTTTCAGCAGCCTCTCAGACCCAAAACACAT